TTTGGCCAACACTTTACCCCTTACGGGCCGACCCGGTGTGAGCGGGGATTAGTCTGGGTTGTGGTTAAGGCTTAAAGGTGCCACCCATAGTTAGGGCCCATCCAGGACCATCTCGGGGTTCAGACAAAAAAAAAAAAAAAAAAAGTGAATTCGTGCCGTGGTGATCATTGAACATCTGCGATTGCAAAGGCTGAGGCCACACAACAAGGCCTCATGAAGTGGAGATATCAATGATATGTTTCTTCCTTGCAGCATGACGACCCAGCAGCTTAAGCTTGCAGAAGAAACACTACTATTTTTAATAGCACCATCTTCAAACCCCATCAAATTAGCACCAAAGTTGTAATTTTCCTTAAAATTATGAATTTACCCTTAATATGGATGGAAAATTGGATGAAATTTGAAAAATTTGACGTGAGGGGGGAAGTTGGCTATTTGTACATAATTTTTATACTTAATTTATCAAAAGATTTTGTTGGGGAGTAAATTGACAATTATGACATAGTTAAGGAGCAAAATGACAATTTATCCTATTTTAAATGTACACATTTGCACTTCCAAGATTAACCTCATCTACTTTTTCCTTTATTCAACACTGCCAGTTGGTAAAATGTTGTGAGGAGAGGAAAAAACTCAAGTCGCCCTATCCTCCCTTGAGTCCCAAAGAAAAACTTCACAGATTTGCTATGAATGCGGTGGTGGGTGTGGCTGCGACTGCGCTTCTTCAGGTGGTAGTGGTGGTAGGATTCGTTTAGGCTCATAGGTTGCTATGGGGTTTTGGTTATGTTAGGCATGTGGGATTTGTTTGGACTTATGATTAATTGTGGTGATGTGGCAAGTAGTTTTGATGCGGCTTTTGTCAGCTTTAGTTTTGTTTTTAACGTGTTAGTTTGTCGCCCTCTGGGGATTGGTACTTTTGATGTCTTTGATTGTACTGTTGAAGTTTATCTTTAATTATAAAAAAAAACTACCAGTTGGTCTAGTGCCTACTCGCCACTTTACTCGAGATTCTTGGTTGAGGCTCAACTAAGAAAAGTAAAATACCAAACCTTAAGAAAACTTTTAGGCACCTTTTTTCTATTTAATTATACATACAGAGTAACAATATATTCAACCAGATTATATAGAATAAAGTATATTCAAGCTTCCATAGGCTGCAGGAAACTTAAGCTGTGGTTTCAAGAAATGGATAATCAGTGTAGCCAATAACCGGATCAGATGTGTAGAACGTCTCTCTGTTGTATTTATTTAGAGGAGCATTAAGCTCAAATCTTTTTGGCAAATCTGGATTAGCCAAGAACAACCGGCCATAACCAACAAGATCTGCACGACCCTCAGCCACAGCATTGTTCCCATCTTCCCTGTCAAAACCACCAGCCGCAATGAAGGTGTCTTTGAAAGCTTCTCTCATGGGCAGAAGACTGTCCGGAGTTTCACTTTTGTCTCCAGCTGTCTTCATTCTTGGCTCAACCACATGGCAGTACAGGATCCCATATTTGTTCAAGGATTTGGACATATAAAGGCCTAATGCTTTCGAATCTGAATCCGCTGATTCCATGTAGTCCGCAAATGGAGATATCTAATTCCAACTTTATCTGCTCCTATCTCATTAACAACAGCTTCAACAATTTCCAAAGCGAACCGGCAACGGTTCTCCAGCGATCCACCGTATTCATCTGTTCGATCGTTCACTTGGTCTTTCATAAACTGATCAATAAGGTAGCCATGCGCCCCATGAATTTCAACCCCATCAAAGCCTATATATCAGAAAAGCATTTTCCATGTAGCCAAGATGTTAACTTAACTTTATAAATCATATGATATTCTAAACGATTACAATTCAAGAATCAATCTGGCGTGATCTTGGTTAGTACATTCGCTTAGTACTTATTTATGATTCATTTTGATTTCTTACAAATTTTAATTTATATTTAACTTAAAAGATAAGTTACCAGCTTCGATAGCATTCCTTGCAGCAAGTCTAAAATCATTGACAATTTGCGGAATTTCGTCAATCTTTAATCTCCTTGGAGGTGTGTATTGAGCAATGTCAACGCCGCCATTAGTTAGTACTTGGGGGGCTAGTGGCTTGTCGGTACAAGAGATTGGAGCTTGCCCATTTGGCTGAAAACCTGTCAGCAAGAGAGAGAGAGAGAGAGAGAGGATCACAATCTGAACTCAATACTTATGTTCATGAAGAATATGCTTCCTGATGCTTCAATGGTCTAATTGCTCATAAGTATTTCTATGATAGAAGTGAAGTCATAGAGGTGAACAACAGAACGGCACCTGTGTTTGAAACCCTCCCGGCATGCCAAATCTGACAGAAGAAGACACCGCCTTTAGCATGAACAGCGCCAACAATCGGTTTCTACGCTTCAACTTGCTCTCTTGTCCATAAACCAGGCATATCTGGAAACCTTCAGAAATTAAAACAGAGATGTCATCCAACATTAAAATGAAGAAATGTAAAAGGAAATCGAAAGCTACTCTTCTTAAAATTACCCTTGAGCTGTGTCAGAAACTCCACTGGCTTCAGCTATGAGAAGACCCCCTTGAGATGTTCTCTGAGAGTAATATAAGATGGCATGCGGCTGGGGAATATTTTTGTATGCTCTCTGTCTAGTCAATGGTGCTAAAACAATTCTGGAAAAGAAGGAAGATTTAAATTATAGATGCAGAGTAACATAATATGGGAGCCCCTATCTAACCAAAGGTGCTAAAACAATTCTGGAGAACACAGTATACTATCAGAACTATAACTCCATGACATGTGGCTAAACAAAACAAAATTTAAGAAAAATAAACCATATGAACTGATGACAAAAAAGAAAATGAATCCTTCCGGTTTTCATTTTCACACCGCACGGTGTATTGGGAACCATCAAACCATATGTCTAGGCATCACTTATGCGTATATAGATTTTCAAGTTCTGGAGTCCCTAGATGCTATTTTCTGTTCCTCCCCCCTCTCCCCCCCATTTACTTCTATACGATTCATATATGTTTTACTTACAAAGATATAGTTAGAGTATCATCAACTTCAAGGAGAATCTCATTCTCACATGAATGGTAAGAATAAAAGGTTATTATGCACGGGCACAGGCAAGCAACCAGAAATTTGACAACAAAGGAAAATTGAAAGCAGGGCAAGTATTTTTAGCAGCTGTACACTTGAAACTGACCCAGAAGTTGCAACATATTATCAATTCAATACCCAAACTCAGATAGAGAGGCATTACTATCATTAAAAAGCATAGAATTATACTGAAAGAGTATGGGGAGAGACACAAGAAAACTGGGCTATCTACAAAAAACAGAATGCAGGACAAGTATTTTTAGCAGATGGAGACATCAACAGAGACTACCCCGGAAGTTGCAAGACATTATCAATTCACAACCCAAACTCGAAAAGAATGCACCATTTTGATATGTACTCCTCTTTATGCAACTACTTGTTATTTTCTCTTTGGTTCTTAGAAAATTTTAACCCACTAAGATCCAATTAGAAAATGACAATTGGCTAATTTTGAGTTTTTCTCTCCAAGTAGGCCCTATAAAGGTTTTTGTATAACATGTCATGTTAGAATGAACCTATTTGTTAAAAGCCTTTAGAAACACGTAAGAAGTGACTCAAATTCTTATTCTTGTTAGTCAACAGGTATTTTCCACAAATACCTCCTTCTAACTTCTAAGTGGACTAAATCCCATTTTTAGTAGAACAGACCATGCCATGGCTAAATTTGTGCACCAACAAAATGACCCAACATACAAATTTAGAAAAAAACATAGATAAAACAAAGCCAACATTCTTCAGCTTAATGCAATGTAGAAGAGATTTAAGTACCTATGAGAAAGGTTGAACTTTCCCATTTTGTAAGGGGTAAGGAGAGGAATTGTGGGAGGTTGAGCAGACATGTTGGCTATCAGAATTCACGCGGGTTTTGCTCTTGTGTTTGGGTTTTGGTTTTTAGGCTCTGGAAATGAATGGAAAGCCAATTGGGGATTTATACATTTTGGTAGCAACTAGAAATCCAATGGCAGGAGTTGGAAGCTGCGCAGTTTTTTAATGCATGATTGAGACGTTTGATGACGTTTGCAATTGCGTGGTGCTTAATGAATAAACAAAAACTGAACTAAAAGATGTTCAAATACATCAGAACCCACGTAAAACATCTTCTCAAATCGCTGTTGTTGCTCATTCTCGGGCTACGTTTGCAGTGACTTTGTTGTTGTGGTTCTCATTTTTGAATTCCCTTCTGTCTTCTAGAATGAATTGGGTTGGCAATGAATTGTGATGAAAGTATCAATTTCATTGATCTAGTTTTGAGCTAGTCACAACTAAGTATCAATTTTATCACAAATATATATCGTTCTCGTCAGTCATGTGAATCGAACTTGAGCGCTCCTCCAATTAAGTGAAAACAAATAACACTAAACCAAAAATTAGTTGGTACCAAAAAAATAAAGCAATTAAAAGCGTATATGAATATATTTTAATATTTATTAATCTAAAACTGCCCGAATTCATCTAAAGGGACAAATATGCAAAACATTAGTCTACTAAACTGTAAATAATTAAAAAATACAAACAAACAAAATTTCTTGTTTAACAAATATTTTTTTGTAAATAATAAAAATATAAATAAGAAAGAAAAGAATAATACTATTCTTATCACATTTGTATACCACATTCTCATATCACCTTATATGGTAGATGAGGTCCACATCAATTCAATTTATTTAACATTTTTTTTAATGATTTATTAGCACTTTAAAAAAAATACTGTTAATTAAAATTTCTTTATTAAAATACACTTAATTGATTTATTTGATGTGATATATGATACCATGTGATATAGAAATGTGGGATAAAAATATAGTAAGTATAGCATTACTCAAAAGAAGAATCTATTGAAACGTGGGCGGACTAGTGATTTGTAACGCACCCCATCGGACTAGTTCCAAGTAGACCTATAAAGACCCAATTGGGTTTCAATTCATTACCAGAACAGAGAGCAATCAAAAACCAAAACACACAAAAGGTAAAAGGCCAAGCTGCAAGATCAAGACCATAGTAGGGGATCTGAACTCTGACATGGCTGCTCAACCTCCCACAATCCCTCTCCTCACCCCTTACAAATTGGGAAAATTTAATCTTTCTCATAGGTACTTGCTTAATCTTTTCTACATTGCATTAAGCTGAAGAATGTTGCCTTTGCTTTATCTTTTTTTGTCTAAATTTGTATGTTGGGTCATTTTGTTAGTTAGTGCATTAGTTAGCTAACAAGAAAAATGAAGTTGCTGCTTATGTTTAACCTAATTTGGTTTACTGTGTATTTTGGTCATTTGGGTGGCTTGATAGTTATATAGCAAACTGCTGCATTCTTTGTGAGTTTGGGTAATGAATAGGACTTCTGGGGCTGTTTCTGCTGATGTCTAGAATTGATAAACTAGTTGTCTTGCTTTCTGCTCATGCCCTTTTCTCCTAACGACAACTTTCCTCAGCCTCGCGCTTGTATTTTTAATTTAAAATGTCTTGGTGTTTTTCAGAGTTGTTTTAGCGCCATTGACTAGACAGAGATCATACCACAGCGTTCCTCAACCACATGCCATCTTATATTACTCTCAGAGAACATCCAATGGGGGTCTTCTCATAGCTGAAGCCACTGGAGTTTCTGACACAGCTCAAGGGTAATTTGAAGTAGAGAAGCTTTCAAGTTCTGATGTTTGATTTTAAGTAACTAAGCTACATTTGACGGTGCTCTCTTCATTTCAATGTTTGATGACATTTTTTTTTCTTTCGTATGCGAAGGTACCCAGATACTCCTGGTATATGGACAAAGGAGCAAGTGGAAGCATGGAAACCCATTGTTGATGCCGTTCATGCTAAAGATGGTGTCTTCTTCTGTCAGATTTGGCATGTGGGGAGGGTTTCAAATAGTGGTACATTTCTGGCACACGCCTTATGACCTCACTATCGTAGAAGAACTTGTGAGCATAAGTGAAAAATTAGACCATTGAAGCATCATAAAGCTGATTTACCTTTCATAATTCATTATGAAAACTCAATGTTTTCAGCATGATTTTTTTTTTTTAGATGGAAGAAATTTGATATATCTAAATAACTCAGAATTTGATATATGTTTGAATTCATTATGAAATTCAATGTTTTCAGCATCAAATTTTTTATGGAAGAAGTTTAATACACTGAAATAACTAAGAATTCAGAAGTAGCATAGCATGTGCAGAGCTTCACAAGAAGTGAGTGATTATGATTGATGATATCGTTGCTCAAATGGCGATCAAATTGTGACATGTTAAGATCCGGACTTGGTGTTGATTGATGGAACCATTGTATGTTAAACCAACGTGTAGAATAACATGAAAAATGGATATGCTTGATTGTCTGCAGACTATTTCCATGCACAATTGGTGTTTTTATTGATTGATCTTGATCTACCTGGAAAAAAATAGGACTCTTTTTCTTAAATCATAAGTATCAGTGATGCTTCTCGACTTAAACTTTTAAATAATCCGCATTACTCCTACTTTTATTGCAATTTGAGACAACTGATTCCCTCTTTGTGTGAAAGAGTATGCTGCTGTGGCTGTGTTGTTTATTGCCTTGAGACGTGAGATTGTGATTCTATCTTTCCTTGTTTACAGGTTATCAACCAAATGGGCAAGCTCCAATCTCTTCTACTGACAAGCCAATACGATTAAATGGTATTGATGCCAGTGAATTGACACCTCCAAGGCGATTAAGGACCGATGAAATTCCACAAATTGTCAATGATTTTAGACTCGCTGCAAAGAATGCTATTGAAGCTGGTAATTTGTCTTTACGTTGAAATGAAATAGAATTTGTGAGAACTCAATGTGCTTCAGAGCTTATGGAAAATGAGCCATATTTTATCAGCTAAATGTAGTAAAGGGAATAAACGTACTTGAATACATATATTACAAGTAGTCTTGCCATAATTATTCTATCTGCAGTTGTTATAGGGAGAACTATAAGTAGTTTTATGCTAATGGCTTGAACTGAATTTGACCTTCCACATCAACAATTTAGCTTTAGTGGTTTTGAGAGCCGACATAAGAAAAAGGGAGTAGCTTTTGCTTAATGAATAAAAGGATTGGTTCATATTATTTTCGAAAAGTCTTCTAGGTATATCCATTAATATTATTTTCGAAAAGTCATATGATATATCAGTTATCATCTTCTCCTTGTTTCTCTTTCTTTTGTCTTGAATGCATGAGGCCAAAGGGGGAGGGGATTCGAACTCTGGCCTTGAGTGTGGGGTAAAAATCCCGCTACCACCGTAGCTACAAGCCCCTGCTCATCTTCTCATTGTTTCAATTGCATGGTAAATAACCATTATTTCTTTTTTCTTGTGCACTGAAATAATTTGTCTGCTATATACAGGCTTTGATGGAGTTGAAATTCATGGGGCCCATGGCTACCTTCTTGATCAGTTTTTGAAAGATCAAGTGAATGATCGAACAGACCAATATGGTGGATCTCTAGAGAATCGTTGTCGATTTCCCTTGGAAGTCGTTGAAGCTGTTGTTAACGAGATAGGAGCAGATAAAGTTGGAATTAGACTATCTCCATTTGCTGACTATATGGACTCAGGGGATTCAAATCCAAATGCATTAGGCCTTCATATGGCCAATTCCTTGAACAAATATGGGATTCTGTACTGCCACATGGTTGAGCCAAGAATGAAGACACTTGGAGAGAAAAGTGAAAGCCCCCAGAGTCTTCTACCAATGAGAAAGGCTTTCGATGGTACCTTCATTGCTGCTGGTGGTTTTGACAGGGAAGATGGGAACAAAGCTGTGGCAGAGGGCCATGCAGATCTCATCGCATATGGACGTTGGTTTTTGGCTAATCCAGATTTGCCAAAAAGATTTGAGCTCAATGCTCCTCTAAACAAGTACAATAGAGACACATTCTACCTATCTGATCCGGTTATTGGTTACACTGATTACCCATTTCTTGAAACCACTGCTTAAGTTTCCTCCAGCCTACGGACGCTTGAAGCCTTGAACACTCTACTTGTAGGCTTTGTTGTTACTTTTCTTTCACCATAGCATGTAGTTTATAAGAAACAAAGTGAATAAAAGTTCAAGGGAAAGTGGCCTTGGCCAACCATAGATAGTAACATTCTTATTTGGTAGTCATTTTTCTGCTTTGACAAAGTGAATCCAGATATATTGAGATTATTTGTAAAGGACGTTGGAAACTTTCAAAAGAATGGATGCATTTGGCATGTTATTATTTCTACTGCAGGCGCTGGTGCTTTGGATTGCTTGTTTTCATCGTTTTTCCTCGTCTTTTAATTCCAATTTTTTTTTTAACAGGGTTAATTACTTAAAAGTTTAAGATCATCACAAAAGCCAACAGATCCATGGGTTGCTAAGAGTTTGAAAAAAACAGATTATCTTTATTAAACTCACGTGGCCATGAGCTACAACACTACACTTGATACAGATTGGTCAAAGCAGAAGCACACTATACCAAATGACAATTTTACTGTGTGGTGAGCTAACTTCTGCACCTTGAATTGTTGCACACTTTTTCTCTTCTCTAATTATGCAATGCAATAAAAGTAAGGAGAAAACATTTAAGCACATTAATACAGGAACTAAAATATAGGAAGGTTCAAGCTTCTATATTCGGCTGCCACATTAAGCAGTGGTTTCAAGGAATGGATAATCAGTGTAGCCAATAACTGGATCAGACATGCAGAAGGTCTCTCCGTTGTACTTATTCAGAGGAGCATTAAGCTCAAATCTCTTTGGTAAATCTGGATTAGCCAAGAACCAACGACCAAAGGCGATAAGATCTGCACGACCCTCAGCCACAGCATTGTTCCCATCTTCCCTGTCAAAACTGTTGTGAATTGAGAAACAAACTCAACTCACCCTCCCCTAATGATCTTGTTGTTGATGGACTTTGTGACAAACACAATAATGGATGAATCACACACACACTATACTTGAGAAACCAACCAAGCACAAAGTGACACAAGAATTTATAGAGGTTCAGCAATTGCCTACATCCTCTTGGTGATCCCCTTGAGAAATTCACTAATGAAAGAATAAGTTACAACTTTGGTTTACAAAGAAACCCCCTTAGAACTCTATTCTCTCCTCAAGCTCTCTTTTCTCTCTCACCCCTTGCTCAACACTTTGATACACTAGAGAACTCTTAAGCCATGATATTATTCTTACATGCTAAACCCCTTTATATAGCCAAATATGCAAGAGTGTGAATGCAACCTCACACTATTCAAATGTTGGCTACCAAACTTAACCATGGATGGCTACCAAACATTCCACCATTTTGTGCCACCAAACAAGTCACCTATTTTTGACAAAGATGGCAAGCCAATATTTACTCACATGGGCAACTCCAAAATTCTTCTAGAAATGAGTCAACCATGTCATGGAATTTAGGTAGAAATCCATAGCACACAAAAGAGGACTTTGTATCCTTAGGTGAGCCAAATTTCCAACAATCTCCACCTTGGCGAACCTTAATCACCTCGTGAACCATTGTTATCCTCTAGAACCTCTTCAACCTCTTAGAAATCGTTCTAGTAATTTCCAAAAGCTCCACCATGGCAATTAACCTCTTGCCTCAATGTACCTTTGGTGGAAGGTGCTCCACCCAAGTCTAAACTTGAGTAACTTGGACCTCCTGTGCAGAAGAGAGATCCCCCTTGCCAAATTTGTTGCTCCTTGCTTCCTTGGAACCTTGAATCTTGGACTTCCCTTGATATGCAAACCACATACCAAACCTTTGTTCACTAAATCCCCACATAGCCAACCTTGCTTTTGGATTTAAGAACACACTTCTTTTCATCAATGCACCTCTCCAACTTTCCCACTTCATGCTCCCTATAGCACTCCGAAACGTGGTTGGAACTTCTTGGTCCATCCATCCAAAACCTAGGGAAGGTTTGATGAATTCCTTGGGCCCGGACCTTGCACTTGATGATGGCTCCAACTCAAGTAGAACCCTTTTGTGAGTTTGCTGTTGTTGCCCTCCTTCTTCAACCCTTGTGTCAAGCTCCACCTCAAATG